AATTGGATGTCAAGAATGCATTCCTTCATTGGAAATTATAGAAATTGTGTACAAGAAGAAATGTACATGGCCCTGATTGTACATGTGGATGATATTGTTGTAACGTGTAGTTGTTCTAAGGATATTCAGCCACTCCATGGTTTATTAGCAAGGAAGTTTGAAATTAAAGATCTAGGTCCATTTAAGTATTTTCTTCGGATAGAGGTGGCAATGTCTAAGAGGGAAATCTTTATCACTCGAAGGAAGTACATACTGGACCTTAACGAAACAGGAAAGCTTCGGTCCAGCTAATACTACTTAGTGAAGCTCCCAAAGATATGGATATGTTCAAAGGTTAGTGGAAAAAGTGATAAATTATTTCATGTATATGTCCAAACATTGCATCTGCTATAAGTGTGATTGGTCGGTTCATGCCTGCTCCATAAACTACTTATCTTGAAGCTGCTTACAAAGTTCTTAAATATTTAAAGTCATCACCAGGCAGAGGATTGATGTTTTCCAATCATGGACACTAGTGTGTTATCGCTTATACAAATGCACATTGGGCTGGTTCTAATGTGGACCGAAGATCTACATCAGGCCATTGTCTCTGATTGGGGGTAACCTTGTGACCTCGAAGAGTAAAAAATAGTCAATTGTAGCCCATTCACGTGTAGAAGCAGAGTATCGATCTAGGGCTCATGGTGCACGTGAATTGTTTTTAAAAAAGTTTATTACAAAAAAATCTTATTATAATAGCTTGGTTTTCTTGTGAGGAGGTCAATGTACTTGTATTGTGATAACAAGGTAACCATTAGTGTAGCTCACAATCCGGTCCAGCATGATAGAACCAAGCATATGAAGGTAGGCTGACATTTATTTGAGAAAGAGTTACTACCAAGGAAATTTACCTTCCTTATGTGAACACTGAAGACCAGCCAGCAGACATTCTTACCAAGGCAGTTGGGAAACCTCGACTACAAGTGATCCTACACAAGTTAGGCATGAGGGATATCTATCGGTTTTGTGAATGTTAAAGTCAATACTCTTTTCTATTGCCTTTAAGTCCCTAAGGATTACTGTGTCTTTTCCCTCACGAAAGGATATCATTGTAGGCAAGTCAAAATCAATAATATATATCCTAGGAGGGACATGTGGGTCAATTTTTCAACTCCACGTGACTTCCAGTCCTCTCTTCCTTTTTACCTCCATGTGATTCCCCCTCTCTGAACCTTTCTCTTCCTCACTCTAGATCCTCAACTCCATCTTTGTTGTACATTTTTTTGACTTCACCCCTAATTAGAGGAACAACCTAGACTAGCTTCGAACAATATACAATAAGACGATAACAGACCCATACTCTTAACAATATTAAGGAACGCAAATGTTTTTTGGTTAAGCAAGTAAACCTTGCTAAGAAACCAAGAAATGCAAACTATTGCATAAAGAAGCATAGTAGTCATGGGGGCTCGTATTATGGAAGACCATCAACACATACCACATTGGAGCCTAGAGTGTTGGATAATGTAGAACATTATTCCAAAAGGCGGACCGCCTAGCGCCTAGGCGATATAGGAGGCCTAGGCTAGGCAGTAAACATAGGTGCCCTGCCCTTGGGCGCCTAGGGCTTGCGCCCCGCCCAGGAAAATGGTGAGATTCAGGTTCATTTCAAACATAAACCCCATTAGAACCCATTTTAGAGAGATAGAAACCTACAAAAAACTAGATTTTTGTGATTCCATAGGACCGAAGGGTTTTTAAAGTTACGAGAAATCGATCTAAACATCACCTATTGAGATTTGATTTAGTTTAGGAGATTTTATAGGTCTAGTAGAGGGTTTTTTTAGAAGATTTTAAGATTAGAAAGCATCTCAAAGGTGAAAGTTTGGAGATCGAGCAATCAAAGTTAAGTGAATTTTTTTTTTATTTTTTTTATTTTTTATTACTTGTTATTTTGAGATATGTTTTTCGGGAAGTGGTGATCCTGATTGGAAATATGGCTATAACCCGAATCCTTTGAGAAAAAATTGCATAAGATGCAATTATTGTTAAAGAATACAAATGGGGGCATAAACCAGTTTAAGAAATATCTTATCTTGCCGGTATCAAGGGGATGTTGCTTCATGTAAAAAAGTTCCTGATGCTATTAAAGAGGAGATAAAAAATTATATGATGAATCACTGTCTTGCTAAGTTGCTATCTTGGATTATATTTTTCTATTTTTAGCATTCACTATGTGTATGGACTATGGAGTGCATCGAGTTTGGATTATGGTATGGACTATGGATATGGTCTAATACACTAATCCCTAATAGTTTGAAGTTTAAACTTCAAAGTTTGATTTTTGAATTTGAAACTCATGGAATTATGGACTAAAATATGTCTCAATACATATTTTTTAAAATTTTTTACACAAAATTTGACCTTAAAACAACTTTTTATTCTACTGGGCCACCCAGGTTCCGGGCGCTCACCTAGGGGCTGGGCGGCCTAGACCCCAATCACCTACATGCCGCCCAACGTTTTTTGGAACACTGATGTAGAGTGTCCACTACTGCAAATGAGAGATGTCCCTGCTCAACCTAGATGTTAAAAATGCTTTCCCAAACAGCTCCACTTGGTTTTCCAATACAGAGGGAGGCATAAAGTACACAAGAAAATAAGAAAGAGCAGCCTTTTTTATACCATATTGAGAGAGCAGCCTTATTTAAGTTATTTATTATTCCTGTTTACATTATATGTCTCATCCAAGTGACAAAATTACTATCACTGCATAAATTGTGTTACTATATGATGAGCACTCCAGCAACTAGAGAATGATTGCTAATTAATAGCCTATTCTTGAGATAACACTTTTGCCACTAACCTCTCTTTATATTTGTCAACTATACGATTAATCTTAAATTTGATTTTCTATATACACCTGCAACCAACATTCTTCAGGGCAATGGAATGAAATCTCATATATGGACTTATCGAGAGCATCGAGTTCCTGTCCACTTGCCTGCTGTCAAAAATGCTAAGAAGTCCCCCTCAAGTAAGATTTAGTTCTAGTTATGATACGAACCTGAGGTAAAGATGAATTAACATTGACATGACAAGGAATAAGCCAATACAAGACTCAAAAAAAGTATCCAATGAGCTCAAACTTTTTTGATTCTAGTCAGATCAGTGTGGGAAAAATTAAACCTAAATGGTTAACAGGAAATGAAGCCAGAAGCAGTTCAACCGGCCTAACTGGTCATGTCCCGGGCGGTCAAAAAAGTGTAAAAAAATAACAAAATACAAAAAAATAAATAAAATATGAAAAGTACATTAAAACATGATTAAACAAAGCACATCCAAATGAAGTTGAAATCAATGAAAAAAATGGATTTAAAAAAAACGATTTGTGCCAAAATGTATTTTTGAAATTTTCCAAAAAAGATGGGAAAAATGAAAAGATATGTATTAATGGCCAAAACAATTTCCAATCTTAGCTAAACTTATGAAAAACATTTAAAAATGCATTACAAACAAAATATCTTATTTTTTGGGAGTTTATATAAATTTTTTTGAATGTTTTTTTAAATACCCGGCCGTTCACCAAAACCAACCGAAACCGGAATCGGCTAGTGGCCAATTCCGATCTAACCGGGCGAATAGAATTTGAACCGTCCGATTTTTCTACATTGAGTCAGATAGATCAAAATGCTTTGTGGCATTTGGCTTTCTCCTGATAAATGTCTAGAACATTAGGAAAGGAGAGGGAGCAACCACTTAATCATTGCACCTTTCAAAGAGTTGTTCATTATTTGATACTCCTGATTTATTTACTTGATAAGATGGTTGACTTCGCAATTCAAAGCACAAATCCGTTGCTTTGCTTAAAAGAACACAAGATATAATCTTATGTTTAACATCAATGCATGTCGTGAAGCTTTGAAGTATTGGATATATACTTGAGCCCGGTATGCACGGAGGTATAAAACTGCATAATACATCACTTTTTATTATGACAAGCATCAAGAAATGTTTACCAAAACTAACAATGGCGTTTTTTTTTTGTTTTTTACTTCATAGATTCTGATTTGGCTTGAATATCAACAGTGCAGACAGAAGCGTAAACTAGTTAGCACAAAAATCAGAAGTATAATATTATATAATATTATATTATATTATAGTAATATTATATATTATGTTATATTATATTATACATATATTATCTAATGTTATATAATATAGCATAATATATATTAATAATAATAAGTATATTATATTACATAATATTATATCGTATTATATAATATTATATATAATGTACAATAGAAATTACATAAGAATGTATTATACATTATAGATAATATTATATTATACTATATTATATTATATGTTCATATTTATTTTATTAATGTAATTTCTATTATAAAAGATATATTTATAATAATATTGTGTATTATATTATATAATATAATATATATTATATTATATTAAGTATATATAATATTATTAATATATTATGGAAGCAACTACGCAATACCTATGGCGAAAATGAACAGTATTTTTGCCCATAGGCTCGGCGCCATCCGATTTTTTCGAACGGCCTGGATTAAAAGACCGCAACAGACATAGTAGGTCCGTTGCAGTATTTTTTCATGCCAAAAACACGGGCAACCGCCATGGCTCCCGTAGATCTGTGGCGGTTTTTAAGAAAAAACCACTACGGACATAGCATGTCTGTAGCGGGGAGAAACACTATTCAATTTCGCCTATAAGAGTTTTTAAGAGTTTTCCATATATTATACTATTGGTTAACGGACTAGTTACCAAGTTTGTGTAACTAGACAATCAAAATGAATCAATATACTCATTTAATATTGCATACTGCATATGTTTTGTTTTCTCTTCAGCAACAATTAACGACAAACTCATAATAAACCTTGGACAAGACCTTATAATCATCGTGAGAATTAAGTACACACGCATCACAGTATTTCTTTGCTACACAAAGTACACTGCTTGTAGTCATTTCATTCAAAATGGAAATAAGGGGATGCGGTGGCTTGGCTATTAAAAATAAATGTGATTAATCTCAAAGCACCAACCAGAGAATGTGAAAAAAAAAAGGACTTACTTAATGAAAAGGAATAGCATAGATACATGGATAGAACTGCACGATTCACATATTAAACATCACACAAGTACGATTTCGATGTGATACTGAGTTAGAGAGCACCATCAAAATGGAAGCTACTGGAATTGATTATTTACAAGGCGGAAGTGAGAAGCATTCACCGAGTCAAATCTCAGATCTCTACAACTGGAGGTTCCTCTAAAATAACCAATGCTTCTTTTTGGGGACTCGACTTGGAACCTCTGCACGATAGAACATGGACATCATATACTATTCTGGCAAATTCCATTGAGCTAATACATTTAAATAAGATGAACCAGTTACCTCCAGTTCCATATAAGGAGTTGTAATGTACTTCACACCAAAAACTCAGCCAAAGTTCTGAAGCAAACACCAAAAAACAAAAAAAGGAATAAGCAGAAGTCCATTAATAATACAGATAAACATATAGAGAAGTCCAAATGTTGAGGCTTAAGTAATACATCATTCAAACAGAAACCTTACCATCATTCAACCACAAAACAGATGAAATGGAGGGCTACCATCTTATCACACACGATGATACTGATCATGCTACTAAAACAAGTACAATAATGATAAGGATTTAAGTAATACCTAGATGGGATATCACTCTCTTTTTATTATACATATAACTTTTTGAATTAAATATAAGAGATAAAGGGATATACAGAATGTGATTGTTTGTCAGCATACAAAATGTGTCATGTACAGGTGGTTTGTACAAAATTGAAGCAAAAATGTGACCAGAATCCTCCTTAGGCTTGGCACCTTAGAGTCTTTAACAAGGGCATAAGCAGCTATAGTTGCCTCTCTCCATATGTCTCCAAAACTTAGATAAAGGTAGCTTCTAGTCTCCAAGGGCAGGGGACAAATTGTTTTGCCAATTTATCACATTCATAAAAGTCCCTTTCGACAAACAAAGAGGATCACTTTTGAGGCCATCCAGCAGGGCCTGGGCTTCAGTACAGGTGGAGTTGGCTAAGTCAATAGGTCGTAAGTATGATAGCATAGTTCTGATGGAGCACTTTCTGAAGATGCCTTCCAACCCGGCTGACCCAGGGTTTCCAAGACAGCAACAATAGAAGTTGAGTTCATTCACACAAGGAGCAGGAGGGAACCAATGGGTAGATGATGTAGGCAAGTGTTGAGCATTATGCTTTCTACAGAACATAACTTTTCATTCGTGACTCAGAATAGCTATTAGTGGTACAAGTTGGAAGCTTATTTAGAGTTCTACAACATCTAAACTAGTTCCACTAGTTTTGCTTACTGATTTTGTTAAAAAAGGCCTCTAGAGGCCTGAAAATGGCATCCAAAGGTTATGCCGCAAATTTGGAGATATTTTCATCATTCGCACCTAGGATTGAATTGTCTTTTCCTATATTCTTTCTTTTTATTCATGGTTCTGATCTAAAGTTTGTACTGGATGGTCTAAAATACGATTAGGTTAGGGTTTCGTTTATAAATAGAAATGTAAGGATGAAGTCAGTTTGGAGTCCTATGCTTTGTATTTCCTTATTTTCACCAGAAGGAGCAATTGGAGCTCCGCTTGTGAGTTCCCACCTATTTCAATTGATCCATTAATGTTGTGTTTGTTTATCTTTCAATTTGTTCCATTTACATCATCAAGTATTAGAGTAGGTGACCGCCCGAAGCGCTGTAGATGATGGCTGCTAGAGGAGGCCAAGGAGGCCGCAGCCATGGTGGTAGTTTCATACCTATGCAAGAGGACATCAATGAAATTGATGAGATGATTCAAGGAACTAACGTGCAAGGTGTGCCAAATTCATTATGATCAGGACTTGAGTTTTCATGAAAGCGATAGGTCTAACCCGCAAAGGAAAACCCTTGCCACAATCAGGGATAGAATGAAGCTCCACTTCATTACCAGGGGAGGAATCTTGATATCCTTGTGGACACCCTATGCTGGCTAAGGAAGTTACCACACACTCACAACCCCAAAACCATAGAGTCTAGTCCTAGAGCATTCCTAGACCTACACCAGACGCAAAACCTAGCTTTTTGCACCAACTTGACACCTAGAAACCTGAAACAAACACCTTAGAGTCCCAACACCATAGGCCCCTCAAACCATTAAAAATCCGTGGCCAACCTATCACCAGCTCATCACTATAGAGAATGGGAAAGTATAATTGTGAATGTATAGAAGCCAATTCTCTTACGCTTGTAGTACAACTATGTCAAAACTCAAGACAATACAGCTTCAATTTTACATAATATATTTGAAATTCATCTTACAAAATGAAATTACCGCAAGGTCACTGAGATTAGAGTGAACGTATAACTTCAAAATACACTTAAAAACAGAGGATACAACTCAACTAGGGTCCCTTGTCCATTAACAAAACAACATACTTAAGGAGATCATCAAACTACAAATGTAGGAGGTGCTATAGAAAATTCTGCACCACTCAAAATTACAATGCAAAACTATACATCAATAAACTCCATAAAACTCAACATGACAAGATCTCCAACATAACAACACACATGCTCAAGTGCATAATGCATCATGACCATGGGAAGCCGATTAGAGCTCTTGGGTGCCGGGATTACGGCCTTGGGTCTTAGCTATGTGTAATTGGATAAAATGTGATGACATAGCTCAAAATCCGGCCAAATTCATCATCTCAAGAGTGGGAGGCCAAGCATCTACTGATATGAACTTATAACATTGAAATCTTTCTCAACAGTTTTCACTCTTTTCAAAAGGTCTGTAAGATTCCACCCAAGAGAGGGATTGAGAGTAAAGTTTTGGTTAGATTTGTGGTTAGGACCTTCCCCCCTGCATGAGGAGTTCCCTACACTCTACTCACTAGCACGAAACAAAGAATCTTCAATAGCAGAGGAGATGACGACGATTGGTGGGCGTAGAGTTTGGAACCCCTCTTTCCGAAGGAATCTAACCGAAGAGGAAACCAGCCACTTCCAGGTTCTCTCATCAACCCTACACTCTATCTTTATCCTACCTTAAGGTAACAATGATATTGTTTGGACCCTAGCCTCATCAGGGAACTTCTCGGTTGCCTCTTTCTATAAAAGCTTAACCCTGTCACCTACCCTCTCGGGATCTAACAACTTGGCACAGTTTAGACTTTGGGCCACCATTGCTCCACCTAAAGTCCAGACCTTTAATTGGCTAGCCTTCTCCCACAAAGCCCTCACAGTGGAACACCTACAAAAGAGAGGGATCCCCATCCCTAATAGGTGTGCTTTGTGTGAATGTGAGGAGGAATCAAATCTCCACCTTTTTATCCTTTGTCATTTCTCCTACGACCTCTGGGGGTGAATACTGCAACTGTTCGGTATCAAGTGGGTCACTCCCCCTTCGGTCAAGGCTTTGATTTCTTATGATCTTGATTCTTGCTGGCCTAAGGCCGGAAGAATCTTGTGGAAGGAATCCGTAGCTGCAACCATCTGGACAGTTTGGCTGGAAAGAAATTCAAGAATCTTTCTAGGCTCTAAACTCCAAACTCCAGCTCTCTTTCACAAGGCAGTATCTCTGGTCACCTTTTGGGCCTCAAACCACAAGGTCTTTTCGAGTATTCCAGGGAGTTTCTTCCTTAGCCAATGGCACAACGTCCTCCTCCATCAAACGCACATGGTCACAAGGCCAAATATCTGGCAACCACCTCCAGAGGGTATAATCAAGTTAAATTTTGATGGGTGCTCCCTAGGTAATTAGGGTCCAGCTGGGGTAGGGGGGGTCTTTAGAGATCATGAAGGCAATATTCTCTTTACTCTTTCAGAGTACCTTGACTTTAAGGACTCCCATCAAGCAGAAGCCTTGGCCCTCTTATTTTCCTTGAAAAACTACAATCAATCTTGGAGCTCGTACCTCATAGTGGAAGGTGACTCACAAAATGTTATCTCCTGGGCAAGTCGAACAAGCTCTCCTCCATGGCTTCTAACTCCGATTTTTTGATGAAATTCACCACACTTGCAGGGCTATGGACGTCGCTTGGAAACATATCTGGAGGGCGTCCAACGACTTCGCAGATCGCTTGGCGAAAGAGGGAGCTAGAAGTCAAAGTCAAGAAGTTCAAGCTGGATCCACCTCCTTTTTTGCGCAGGACCAGTGACACGCATCTTAAACCTTTCTGTTCATAGGCTTTTTCTTCAGTTGTATTTTTTGAAAGCTCAATGTAATAGGGCGACATCTATAAGCCCCCTCTTTTGTACATGATAAGACTAAAATATTTTTTGCCGAGTCCCCATGTGTGGGTGACTTCGGATCACCATAGCCTTGTAATATTACCTCATTTATACAAATTAACTTTCTCTCAAAAAAAAACATGGAAGGATTTGCAAATATCAAGTGATCTAAGCAAGTGGAAATTGTGGAAGAAATCAAGGCTCTTAAAACACAAAACTAGTTCAATTGAGTTCACAAATCGAGCCACATAATTTTGGCACAAGCTCCTCTTATTAAAACAATTTGAGGCATCAAAATGATGATTTAATTGACTGATTTAGTGAAGAAAATCTCACAAAAAATCAGTCACAAATGCTCAAAAAAACATAGGGAAAAACTCATAGAAACTAGATCAATTTATGCATGGATGATTCCTTCAACTATATGGATCAAGAGAGATCAAGGTAGATTCAAGAGATCAATGATCTAACATCAAAAAGATGAAGATAGCTTGCTGTAATTGAGAATTTACAGCAAGAGGAACAAACTAGAATCAAAGAAAATGGACGACATCTTACACAATTGACAAAGGCCTTAAGACTAGATCATCCATAACTTGAATTTGAGCTTTGGATCACCATTAATGAAGTCATGAAAAAACTTCAATGAAGCTTTCTCTCACATAACCTTGAAAGCAATTTTTTCAAAGGAGAGGAGGGAAGAGAAGGCCCTTGCGCATGCCACTTTAAGATGGATGTGTGAGAGAGAGAGAAAGTGGTGTGCCACTTAGAGAGAGAGATTGTCAACTCATATGAAGAATGAAGGCTCAAGGGGGTACAAGGGGGTATTTATAGGCTTCTAACCCTTAAGTGCATAGATGCTCCTAGATCGATGAATCTTGGCCATCCATGCGTCATCCAATGGCTAAAAAGAGAGGTTTGATCCTAGCCCACCATCCACCATCATGCCATCAAGATGTGTGGTATGGATTTAAACACATTTATCCTTCTTCAAATTCACGCAAATTTTCCTTGTTATTAAAATACCCATGCTCTTTATGTTTAATAATACCAAAAACCAAGTTGGAAGGCATACTCCTATGATCATTTCACAAAATTCCAGCAAAAAGCAAATCTCAGAAGTTTCCTCCATTTTATCGGAGCATGTGGGGCTCTAATGAAATCATGTCACATAAGTTATGTAGTTAATTGTACATTTACCATATACCCTTAGGGCTAAGCCTGTAATTACAAACCCTATGCCCCTTCTAGAAGCCTCCACACATGTACAAACCCCTTGATTTTTGCATTAAACATGTGCTAAAAAAACAATTTCCTAAAATCACAATATTTCATAAAATACAAAAATACAATACCCGTCACTTAATACAACAATATGCATAAGGACATGGGGTCCCGAAGGGGGTTGACGTCACCCCACGTCATCCTCCCCAAGGGAGTTGTAATTGCTTCTGGTTCTGAGACTAAGAAGCCTCGGGTTAGAGGCCCTATGGATAGTTTTTTGCCCCAGCCTAACCCTGAGGTTGCAGGAGAGAAAACAAAGAAGCAAACCACTATTGAAAATACAATGAAGAAAGAAGAGAGAGATAGAGTTGCTTTTTTTATTGCTAAATGGTTTTATGAGGCGAACATTCCTTTCAATACCGCTTGCCTAAGCAACTTCTATGCCTTGGTAGAAACAATTGGCTAATTTGGGCCTGGGATGAAACCCCCAACCCCATATGAGCTTTAAGAGCCTCTTTTGAAAAAAGCGGTGAGTGTCACGAAGGATGCTGTAGAAGTTAAGAAGGATATAGAGTTTCTCTTATAACTGATGCTTGGAGTGATAGGAAGAGAAAAAGTCAGATGAATTTGCTTGTGAATTGTCCTTTAGGGACTGGTTTTTTGAGGTCTATTGATGCATCTGATTATACAAGTGATGCTCATTACATATTCCATGTTATAGAGAAGGGAATCAAGGAGGTTGGGGAGCATCACGTTGTACAGGTTGTCATAGACAATGTTGCTCCTAATGTTGTTGTTGCAGCTAATTTGTTGCGCATAGCTTATCCTAGAATCTTTTGGACACCATGTGCAGCACATTGTATAGACCTCATGCTTGAGGCACTTAGCGGTTTAACCGAAATATCAAGTGCAGTGAAGAAGGCAAAATCAGTCACAAATTTCATTTATAGCCACCATCTCACCATCAGCATGATGCGTAGATTTACAAAGAAGAAAGAGATTGTGAGGCCTGGGGTCACGAGATTTGTGACCCGGTACTATACCTAGATAGCATACATTCGAGGGGAGTGCAGTTGATGCAGATGTTTACCTCGGATAACTGGAGAGCATGCAAGTGGTCCAAGGATCAGGTTGGAAAAAAGGGGAAAGATATTATCCTTTCTAAGGCTTTTTGGCAAGGGGTGAGGGGCGCTCTTGAGGTATTTTTTCCTCTTGTCAAAGTCCTTCGCATGGTTGATAGTGACAAGGCTTCTATGGGCTACATATATGAGGCTATGGAGAAATGTAAAAGAGAGATAGCCCAAAATATTGATGATGATGAGAACTCTTACAAGCCTGTTTCAAAGATTATTGATGAGAAGTGGGATAGGCAACTACATCGGCCATTGGATGCAGCGGGTTATTATTTGAACCCAGCTTTTTTTTATGTTGACAAGGATATACACACAAATAACTAGATTTAATAACTGTGTAAATGTGCTAGTCCCTAATCCTGATATCCAGGATATTATATGTGCTGATGAGCTGATAAATTACAAGTGCTCACTAAAGTCTTTTGGGAGTCCAATGGCGATGAGACAAAGGACCAAAATTGATCCAGGTAGTAATAATATTTTTAAGTTCATCAAATTCAAGTAATCAAGTTTCACTTTTATAATTCTATTATTTATTTATGATTTTATTCTATATCTTTGCAGCCAATTGGTGGAGCCAATCTCCTAATTTACTAAAGTTGGCCATTCGGATCTTAAACCTAACCACTTCCTCGTCCGGTTGTGAGAGCAATTGGAGTTACTTTTGAAGGGGTAAGGGTAATTTGTATAATTGTATTAGTAATACATGAACCATAGATTTTAATTATTTAATATTAGTTTCATTTGATTTTGTTAGATTCATACAAAGAAAATGACCATGCTTGAATCAATGAGGCTTAATGATCTAGTTTATATCAAGTACAATTGATTCTTGATGGACAGGTTTGCTAAGAGAGATAAGAGAGACCCCTTCCGATAAAAAATATGGACAATGCTATGGAGTGGTTATTTGATGATGCGGTCGAGGGGTATGAAGGATTGACATGGGACATGGTCATGGATGCTTCAAGGACATCAGCCGATCCTCCTAGGGCCACTAGATCTTCTGCACAGAGTATGAGGGTAGAGGCAGAGGACGAAGAAGAGGCAGATTCAAAAGAGACGGAGGAGGACGACCAATATGTCGAGGAGGGTGACGACTCCGATGCATATGATGCAAATGCAGTTGACCCTACTTTTTTTGATGATGAATGATGAATAATGATTAAACTTTGAACATTGATTGAAGATTCTTTTGAGTCTTCAAGTATTACTTTCATTTTTGTTTTCTTCCTCTTAGTTGTGTATTGTGGACAGTAGATTTGTAGTTCCACTGGTTTGGTATTTAGTAATTGGTAGCTTTGGTTTGGTAATTTGGTTGGTAAATTTTAAGTTTTAATTGGATATGGACCGGCTTATGGTTATGCTTATAGAGTATGTGCTGATGTGTAGTATACTTTTGAATTATGATGTGTCCTATATACCTAATGCTTATATTTTATCTCGTAGGGGATAATATCTGGGAGTTTTGTTTTCCACTACTCAATTGCAATGTAAACCACCCTCTGTATCTTTTATATATATTTTTAATGAAAATTGCTTACTTCTAATAATAATAATAATAATAAAATGTTTATTTTTATTCAACTGAGCAGCCCAGGTTCTGGGTGCCAGCCTAGGCGTTGGGCGGCCTGGACCCCCTAGGCCGCCTAGGACTCGCCTAACGCTTTTTTAACACTGTCCTCCACATGGGGTGACGTGGGACCCCTAGGCCACCACATGGACACCCATCGGCCATTTGGATATCCCGTGTGGGTCATGGGGAATTGTCCTTAATTGCTATTTCTTGCAAGCAATTTCGAAAAAAGCATTTTCTTGTTTAGAAAAATCCAGAAAAAATCCCAAAAATCCACAAAAATCATTTTAATGATTTTCCATCAAAAAATGTTACTCTAATAATGTTTAAAAAACAATTACAAGGGAAATTAGGATCCTTGGATTTGAATTACAGAATGGAACACTCCACTTAGCTAGACCCAAAATCCAAAGCCACCACCTCGGTATGACTCAACAGACTCATGACCCACAGAGTATAATCACGATCTTAACCTATCAAAGTTAAACCAATGAGTAACCATGAATCCTCAAGTATAAGTGGATTTCAGGTACACCTCCTATATGACAATGCACACACAAGGTACGGGGTTCCTTTGTGTGTGGGGGTTCCTCTCTAGGTACATGTGCATACCTCTTGCCATTAGATCCCTGGAAAAGCAGCTTCTCATGCATTGCGACAGTACAAGCAAATGCTACGAGAAAATATTCTAAGAGTTAGCGATTTAGGCCAATGCCCTGTACAAGCCCTAGCCTTCAAGTACAAGGCTATCTCATCATCGAACTCATATCACATAATCATATAAACATATAAATCGTATCGCCTTGGCCCATCACTCAGTCATGAGGCACAAACATAATAACTGACCCTGATTAAGAGGTAACCCTCAATCCTCTCAGTAACTCCCAAGCATATAAATCCTCCTCATGACTAACTCGGGGTTCTATGACTCTTGGTCCTAATGCACCAAGATCCTAGTCATGTAGCTCTTTTACTCCAACTGAAGTTAAGAGCAATCAAAATGTTGGAATTTAAAGCCTTGAAAGGACATAATTCCAACAATAATGCCAATGGAATATAGTTTTCCATAGCACATTGGGGTCACCACAATCCAATCGAATGAAGGAGGCTGATGGAGAGTGGGACCCACCATTTGGGTCATGTCTTGTTCTAGTGAGCCTCACCTAAAAGCCATCACCATCAGTCATTCGATTGGACAATGATGACCCCAATGAACTGTTGATTTCCACAGTTCATTAGACTATAGTGTATGTACCCTGTGACCTATTAAAGAGAACTTTCCTCCTCCTTATTGGCAAAGATCAGAAAAAAAAAAAAAGAGTAATATGCAATGCCCAAGTTTAACAGCTATAATCCCCATGCAATTGAAGAACGTCAAATTGTCAATAACAAATAAAATTACCTTTGGAAGGATCTTGGTCCTTTGGCATAATTTCGATGAAGCAAGAATCCCTAAAAGATGTGAGCAGACAAATTTTGGCTCCAAACTGTTCACGATTATACCTCAAGGAGTTAAAAAAATTTCTTAATTTTAATTCACAGCAGACAGCAGAAATTACCCACATAAATAACTGATAAGAGATTAAGCAGCTGAAATAGAAATGGATACAATCGAAAAATCAATTTTTTTACATGTATACTATAATCCAGTGGACTATGACAAACCAACATCCAGTGGAACCCAGTGGAACAGGACATGACCCAAAATGGCAGGTCCCATTCTTCCCCCTTCACCATCCATCATGGCCTTGGCCATTGTTACCGTGCACTATGGTTTTCCATACTCATTGGATTAAAAAGATATCCTTTCCCTAAAATAATTTCTTCTCTCCAAGAATATCATGCGGCAGTTGCCATTCTGAAACCAAAAGTTACCCGGTCAGCAGCTGCCTGCAGAGTAACATGATCTCCCCACTCCCCTGATCTGAAAACGAAAAGAAAAAAATGAAATAAAAAATAGTGTCAATACTAAAAAATTCATGGCATGAGTATTTATGAAGACAAACACGAAATATTCTGTCCACCTATTGCAGAGAGTCTCATGCTACACAGACATGCACACGCATCTCACCTTTTCATTTTCTTTAGGTAACTTTTGTACTTCATCGGAACATAACCTTCATAATATTTCTGGAAACGTTTGAGCTGAAGCAGAAATAGCACAAGATACAATTATCCAAACCTTTTCAATTTAAAGAAACTCCAAGTACATATACATCCTCATTAGTACCAGAATGAGAAAACAGCTCATTTTATTAGGTTACAACTGGAAAAATACTAAGTTATCATGATAATATGTGAAAAGCGCACGAAGACATATCAGACTTAACCAGTTTAGTGTGCTCCTGAGAAAATACATTGGTTTCACATTGAAGAGTATTGGAGCAGAACTTTGATTTATTGCAAAGAATATACAAAATGTTAACAAGAAAGGACAAGATGACCTACAAGGATGTGAAGGTAGAAATAGTACATATAAGGATCCAAGCAAATGTCGCAGATATCTCTGTTTTGTTTCTACTAAAAATAACAATCAAATGTTTGATGAACCTAATCTCAAATATTTTGTTGGGACCAATGTTCCAAAAATCGGATCGGCAAGGTGATTTCTGGAAATCCAGTCTGACCCGCAAACCAGTAAGGTAATGGGCTGATTCTTCTGTGAGAGGATCGGTCCCAGAATATTAATTAATAAATTTAATTTTTAAAAAAACTGAAAAAATAATAAAAACATACAATGGGTGGGTACCTGGCGATCCGGATCGCCTGGTTCCCTGACAGGCTTGCACGGTTCTCTAATGGAACTAGGTGGGTCTATTGGAATGGACTGATTTGCAGTTCTGACCAGGATTCCCCATAGATTCCTGGTCCGGATCAGTGATTCCCATCTAACCAGCGAATTTTGAAACACTAGTCTAGACCATAAAAAAATTCAAACAATTTATTTGGCAAAGCCTTACCTACTAATTAAACTACTAAAATGTCAAAATAACCCCAGTAATCCATTGAGAGGGAGTAATATACTTTACGAGTCATGGCAGATATATAGAACAGATAAACTCCTAGAGACCAATCAATATCATCTATCAATAATCTGATCATAGCAAGCATTGAAACAGAGAAAAGACCAAGAATCACCAAGGAGTGCCACTTTGCATCCATTTAATTGCTCAATCAGAACTTTTACGTTAAACAAAAAAGATTCAAAAGTAAATAGCAATTCACCTACAGCCCCTTGAGAATATTCATACAAAGGAGCAATTGAGAAATGGTATTGCAACAGGAATTGCTTCCAAAGGAATTTAAAGACCATGTAAAGAACATGCACATTCTTCTTTCACATTATGTACTCATGAAAAGGCTTTCAGCATAATTACCAATGAATTTGTTACCATGTGTTATGTTCATGTTCTAGTACGACCAGTTTCAACCTATATATAGGGCGTTGCTTGACATAATAACAAAAAATGAAGCAGTAAAATACCTATATGGGTGAAATGAAGTTATGTGTAATATCTCAGATTTCCTCACGAAATCAAAGAGATAATGCAAGCATCCAAATATCACCAAACAATGCATAAGGGCCAGCACATATAAGGTGGCCTTGTTGGCACCTTTAATGTGCATTCAAACAGATCATTATTCTTGCCTCGCAAGTGCATGCCTTTTTGATGCAAATAAAAAATCAGTTTTTATTTTATTTTTTATATTTTAAAAAAACAGTTATTTGAGATTTTAATTTTCTTTAGGGTTATTTGTGTCTTCTTTAGTTATAGAGATTTAAAGAGTAGAATAATAAATTCTCTATGGGAGTTGGTTAGGATAGATTTTTATAAGGATATGATTTCTATTTTTAGGGGGGTTGAGGTTGTTATCTCTTAATGGATTGATAAGCATATCAAAGGAAAAAAAAAAAGAGATAAGAGAGAGCTAGAAAAGATATCAAACTTTCTATTTACAAGATATGAAGTTAGAGAGAGATAAGAGCGGGTTGAAAAAGTGGTATGTGGAGAGAAGAGAGAGAGAGAGAGAGAGAGAGAGAGAGAGAGAAAGTTATTTTTGTTTGTGGGTTTTATATATTTATTTATTTATTCAACTAAGTGTATTTAAAGGGAAGATGTCCCTTCTTTGTAATAGAGAGATTACTTGTGATTGAGTAAAGAGTTTGATACAATCTCTCAAAATCTTTTTTATTTATTTTTATTTTCCTGTTACTACTTTTACCTGCATCAGTTGGTATCAAAGCCTTGAGATCCGTACTGATCACAAATAACTGATGATCCAGTTACAGAGCGTATAAATCAAATATTTGAGCAATTGGATTAAAAATTTGACAGACTCGAAGAAGACCTAGTAGAACGTATTAGCAAAGTAATAGAACAAGGTCTACGAGATCTATTTAGTAGATTGGAGCAAGAAGAAGAAGAATATGAAGAGGTAGATCTCAACGCAAAAGACGATGTTGATAGCCCAAACGTGCAAGAAATTTCAAAAATCAATTGTGAAGAAAAAAATACGTGTCGCAGCTTATGAAATACCACCGTGTGAGCCTGAAGGAGATATCGAGATTCTGTTTGGTATTCCAGAGCTCAGTGTCTCAAACTTCCACTATAAATCGCGTTGGATCAATTGTTTATTTGAAGAAGAAAAGTACCTAAAAGAATGTGGGGACTGCATCACCAACTTTTAAGAAGGACTCTAAAAGATTTGAGTTCTATAAGCTCAAGGTCGAACTTCTCCCAACCTGGGGAGAATAATGTAAATAAAAAACGGGGTTTTAAAATTTTTTAATTTATATTTTTAAAATTTTAGAAAAAGTGTTATTTGAGATTTTAGTTATCTTTCAGGGTTTATTTTTGTCTTCTTTAGTTGTAGAGAATTAAAGGGTAGAATAGTAAATTCTCTATACGAGTTGGTAAGGATAGCTTTTAATGAGGATACAGTTTTTATTTTTATGGACGTTGGGGTTGTTATCTCTTAATGGGTTGATAAGCATATCAAAGGGAAAGAAAAAAGAAAGCGATAAGGGAGAGTTTAAAAAGATATCAAACTTTCTTTTTACAAGATATAAAGTTAGAGAGAGATAAGGGTGGGTTGAAAAAGTGATACGTGGAAAATAGAGAGATAGAGAGAGAGATGGAGATAAAGTTATTTTTGTTTGTGGGTTTTATGTATTTATTTATTTATTCGACTAAATGTATTTAAAGAGAAGATGACCCTTCTTTGTAACAAAGAGATTATTAGTGATTGAGTAAAGAATTAGATCTTGTGAAAAGACCTTAGGGTGGACTCCCTTACAGACCCAAAGAAAGGGTATAATCTTTGAAAATCCTTTTTATTTATTTTTATTTTCATGTCATTATTTTTCCCTGCATCATTTTTGAATAGTTGAACCTAGTTCAAATGCTAGTACAGAATCATGGGCTAGACATAAGGTTTAATGGGTGTGAGAGTAGAACCGGTAAATTACCTTAGGATGCAGAGGATATCATGGCTATCAGCTTCCCATGACTTAAATCACACGATTTACAAAATTTTCTTGTACAAAATAGGAAAAGACAAACTTTTGTTTGGCCTATCAAAAATCAATGCAGATGGAAGCATATAAGGGGCACATGTTCAATCTTGAACTTCATAGCTTGTATGCTTCATACCCTTTGAGGATTAAGTTTCTTATTCCCTATGCGTTTTATCACAGCAACAAGGAATGGAGCCAGGCCTTGCCTTGTGGCACCATGTCTCATGCATGAGGTGTAATTTTTTTCTAATATATAGCTCTTGAGGCATGCCATAGATTTAAATTCTTTCAAGGTAGGAGCAGACGTAATGCCAACTGAAATCTCCTCCACTTTGTAGCAAATATAAAGTATTCATCAATATATTTGATGCATAAAATTTCTTTTCAAAGTAATGAACATAATCTCGAGATATTTAAGAAAGAAAACGGATTACCTTTTTGCAACCCCCCACTATAAGTATTTGTCAAAGAAGGGAGATAAAGAGATGAAAGAAAAGAGGGAGAGAAAGGGAAAGTAACAAGAGAGTCCCAATTGGGTCTCACGCACCTCTCACATCAGTTTAATATTAATAGAAAATGGTGAAAGGGCAAAACTTCCAATACAACTGAAATAGGACATATAGGTCCAATTAACTCAAAATAGGAGAGAAATAAGGATTAGAAAAAGGATACCCATGCCCAGCTTGGAACAAATTGTTTGGAAAAGATTACAACCAAGGGATTTGGTGAAGATGTCCGCCAACTAATCCTTAAATCTCAAATACGTAGTAAACACCTACTTACTAGTGACCTTCTCTCAAATAAAATGGCAGTCTACTTTGATATATTTAGTTCCTTCATAAAACACAGGATTACTGGCTATATAAGTTGCAACTTTATTATCACAATACATCTTAATCAGCTCAGCAATAGTAAACCCCATCTCCTGCATCAGTGTCTTCAATCACATCAATTTACATGAAATATGTGTCATTGCTCTATATTTAGCCTCTGCACTTGATCTAGCCACAATATTTTGTTTCTTACTACTCCATGCAACCAGATTTCCATCAATAGATGTACAATAACCTATGGTAGACATCGTGTCAAATGGAGAACCTGCCCAATCAGTATCTAGTAACCCTCAATAGTCAAAGGGAAAAGTTTATAGAAGGTTGCAACCTTAAAAGGTAGAATTACATATGCACCTCAAGAATCTATCGGGAAGGTTGCTTTAATGTTGAAAAATCCTCCATTTGATCATCTCGACATCGAGATGTATGAATATAAAAAAAAAAAAGTATTTGAGTCTCAGAAATAGTGCATCTTGCAACACATTATCTAGACCGTCCATTTTCAAAATCTTCATATGTTTATAGATCTCCTTGATTTTAACCATTTTTAG